TTCTCAACCAGTCTATGAAATTAGGATCGGTTAACTTGTTCTGTTGTGATATGATTTTAAAGCCAGACATAATGGCCTGAAAGAGAGAAAAAATTATTTTAGCAGATGTTCAATACATAAAATAGATTTGGTTTATTTTTATCTAAGTTATGCCTCCCACTATTTTTCAAGTCCCTCAAAACCTTATAAGAGGTGATCGGAAAATAACCCCTTGTTTTCAAGTGGGATCAAGATCCAATTATCATTGAATGTATCAACCTTAACGAAAGCCAACAAATTGATACACTTAATAATTGGTAGACAACTTTTGTCTTTTACACTCTTGTAATTCTTGATATGATTTTACCCCTAGTCTTTTATGACATTGACGATAGCCAACAAATCATAAAAACTAGTCAAGTTTGGACCCGTCATTTCTTAACTGGCTTAAATTTAACTTATGCAAACTCTTGACGAAAGCCAACAAAGTCGCATAACCAATTTAAGCTATCCTTATATCTTATATACAGATGAATACTACTTGGCCATAGAATAGTATTGCCTTGACGATAGCCAACAAACAAAGTATTTATAAGCTTAGTAGTATTCAACTTAAATGATGAAGGGCTACGGACGATTTCATAAATCTTTTACCGTAATCAAACTTGATATAGTTAAAAGATACTCTATATTTATACTTGCAATAATTAAACTAGCCAGGAAAGTGCAAGATTAGTGGGAGGGTTCCGAGCTATTCACCGGGAATATTCATCGGACCTTAATTAAGTAACCACCGCTCTTTAAGACTATAACGCGAAAGATTGGGCATCACCCCTTATCTTAAGTTGGGCATCACCCCATGAGTTATATCTCATAATCACTTTCCTAGACACTAGTTAAAAGTTCGTTCTAAATACATCTCTTTTAACTGCTTTAGGTTTATTTATCTTTCACACTAACACTATGTTAATGTCGATCTCACTACTCTATGGTCAATAAACTCTTATTGCCATGTCTCACAAAGTTTAAAAATGAGTTTTTTATAATAAAAACTATTCTCTAATGAGATAGAGATATAAACTTTGTAGAATATAGCACCCAATTGTATTGACATCTACAATTGGTGCACAACCAACATATCAACATATGTAAAAACAATATGGAATGGTAGTGGACAACTAAGGAAATAAAATACAACTACACTAATTACATTTTGGCAAGCAATTTGCAACTCCTTACATTGCTAGCTCCCTTGCAAATCCTGTATTATTACATTCACATATACATAGGACGTGCAAGCCCCATTTATAATGGAAAAATCATCTCGTAGGATGGGTAATAATATTGCATTGAATGTAAAATAAAAACCATATGAAATAACTAAACTAAATAACCATACCCCCCACACCCGAACAAGGGCCTATACTCGTAGGCGTAGCCCATGATCGGTGAGCAAGTGTCAAAACCCGTAGGCGTAGCCCATGCTCGGGGAGGGAAGAAGTTAAAAAATAATATTACATTTCTAGCTATATTACATCAATACAATAAATGCAAGAGAATCGTTGTCCACTACCATCCATAAACATAACATCCACGCAAGATGATATAAAACATATAACTTAATCAACATTAAGAAATATGCATCTATCTAGTTATGCAACAAATTGAAAAACTAGATAACATAAGGATTATCCTAACTCAAATAGGACTATCATGCTTCTAACATATAACTACACTAGTTGTAAATAAGTGTTTTGCAATTTATACAAGTGTTTTTACTCCTAAACATATGAACCAAAAATCACGTTTTTGAATCAACAACTAGTATAACTAATTACAAAACAACTTGTATTAATTAACTAGTTTCATTAAAACATCTTTTAATTAAACTAGTAACTAGAAGCAAGTACAAAGTCCTCTATGAGTTAGATATGCATGTAAAAATTCAATTAGATGGAACCATGGCTCTGATACCATGAAGGAAAATCATGCTAAATACATGTAAAATACGCAACGGAAGACTATATGTATAATTATGCTATGCATATAGAGAGCATGAAATACATAATAGGACCATCCTAATTAAATCTAACATAATCCCTATATTAAAGAAAGCATACAAGGGTTATAAAGTCATACTTTTGAAGCGTGATTCGATGGAAGATCGAACAACCCCTAACTCTTGCTCCTTGTAGTAGTAAATCTCCTCGTAGTGGATCTCCAAGTCTTCAAGTGAGCTTGATAAAATCGGAGTCTTCTTGAGACACAAGGCAAGATGTCCACCCCGGGGTACTTTAAAATCCTACTATTTCCTCTTACTCTAAGATAGCTAAAGTTTAGTAAGAGGAGAGCTCTCTTTTATTCTCTTATGGAAAAAAATCACTTAGCCAATTTTTCATTAACCTTTCCATAAGAAAGAGAGCTCATATTTATAGAGTGAAATGTGTTCATGACATGAATGACTCATCCTATGAGTCATGCAATGAATCATCAAATATCAATGATTAATCTAGTGAGTCATGCAATGAATCATCTTATGAATCATTACATTTCAAAACCATGTGCTAATAAACCATGTGCTCAAACCATACCACTAAATGACTCATCTCATGACTCATTATACATGGTATGTGTATTTCATAAATGAGAATACCAAATCAATATTGTATTTCATAAATACGATATTTTGTAATTTTCCAATCATTGATTAATAAGTCATCATATGACCAAAAAGTCAATGAGTTGACCAAAAGTCAACTGTTGACCAAAAAGTCAACTAGTTGACTAAAAGTTAACTTTATGGGAAAAATACTCGAATTCATTTCCTAAGCACATAGCACTCTGATTTTACCGATATACATAACCGTTTATGTGTATCCGGTAAAATCATATATGCGTATCAATCATACGCATCACTCTATAAATTGTGTTTCATAGGTTTCAAGTATGCGCTTGGTGTGACTCTAGGGCCCAACTTAAGAACTCGGCAGTGGATCATATCCACAAGTACAACAGAGGTGCTAGCTACACACGAAGACTACCCGAGTATAAGTTGTGATAAATGTCTGCAAGATGCTTATACAATTTTATCAGGACCACTCAGTGATAATGCCGTACAGTCCGGTCTCTTCGTCAAACCATGTCAAACTATTAAGCCTAGGATATGGAAAACTGTCAAACCCTAATTGCTCAATTAGTGTTTGTAGATATTAAACTCATAACCTATAAGATCAAAACTGACACTCAGTTTATCTTATTTAACTCGGCCAAGGATTTTCAGGTTATAGTTATATCAAACAATCTTATGACATCAACCCCCTATACTGGGAGAGACGAATCCCATCTTGGCATCTCAATTTCTACTTATGCCTCGGGATGTACCCAACAAGAACCGTTATGCACAACTCGATGAGAACTGTGGTTAGGTAAAAGTCTAAGTACACCTATACTGACACGTTAGATATTACACTCATGCATCAGGTCATGAGACTACTATGTACTATATCACTTGAGAACTTCTATTTGACAGTTAAGTATAATTACCAACTAGATGTTCTCAGTGAGTCGTTCAGTCAACTCATTCACTAATGAGTCACCTGTATACTATATCTTGATGTCTCACATCAATGATCTAAGAGATGGATCATCGTCCTTCCAAAGGAGAAATAAAGTATACACTAGTCTTACCAAAGTGTTGATGTCCCATTTCAACACTTCATCGACTAGGAACATTTTAGAATATACGTTAGCGACAAATCAGATCTCTTCATTACGATCATATCCGAAATGTCTGATAGTCTAGTATCATTCTAAGGACTTTATCTGTATTAAAATACCAGATAAATCTGACCAAAATAGCATACTATTATTTTAAACAAGGATGTTATATTCATATAGGTCCTGTTATAATATACAATTATTGCCTGCAGGGCACCTATATCCAACAAAAAGGGGATTGAAACTGACTGTACTAATTGACCTGGCATATTAATCGATGGTTTAAAGGTTTCATGAATGTAAAAAGGACCCATACAATTGGAAAGAAAAGGCATTTGGAAATGCTCTGGAATTTCAATTATTTCCTCTGTTATTAATATCCAGAAAGAGCTCACTTACAGCCGTCACAACCTAAGGGGGTGTTTATTTGCATGCAAGTGAAAGATAAAATGAGAAAGTGACTTTCTTTTAACATTTTACGTGTTTGTTCGTATGCAAGTGACTATGAAAGTGAAATGCAAGAAAGTTGCCACATAAGATCTAATGCAATTTTGACTTCCCCTAAAGAGTGGTGAAGTCACATGAAAGTGACAAACATGGTAGCAAATTTTAATTAAATGATTTTAACTATATTTACTAATTAATCTAAATTTTCCAAGTCATCTTTACATTGCACTTTTAACAATAAATTCATTTTTCAAACAAATATTGTGTTCTACTTGCATGCTGACGTGGATGTGAAAGTTATTTGCAAAAAGAAGTAACTTACGTAATTTCAATTCACTTTTGAACAACCAAACACCCCCTAAATGCAAAATGAAAACTTTGCAAATGACAAGCAAATGCTGGAAAGTGTTGAGCTGGCATCACTGGTTAAGATTTAGATATCAAACCAGTATTGATGCCAAGTTACCAACTGTTGGACATCTTCCTTGAATCATCGTCCAGTTCCATAATATGTAAACTTTTGACATTTTAAACCGGTGAAGCCAAAAAGGAAAAATCTTTCTGCTTGTTTCTTTTAGGTTTAAATATCAAAAACAAATATTTCAACTTTTTCCATGGGCTGGGAACATGGTGTGATCAGGTGGGGGAGTAAATGCCGTTGTTGGTGTGTGTTTCACCCAACACTATAGTTGAATCATATATACGACTTAGATCTCCATGTTTGAGCAATGGAGATGATAAAATGGCTATTAGTTGCATGAACATTATATGATTGTTTCTTTATCTATTCAATAGTGTTCCTTTGGCTAGGCAGTTAATATCCTTTAATTTCGATCTCTTCTTTTTGTCACGTGCAGGCCATCATAAGAGAAACAAGTTGACGATGATGGAGATACCTAGCATTTTCATACCAGAAGATTGGTCTTTCACTTTCTATGAAGGAATAAATAGGCATCCTGCTTCTATCTTCAAGGACAAGACAGTTGTCGAGCTCGGTTGTGGAAATGGATGGATATCAATTGCTCTTGCTGATAAGTGGTCCCCTTTAAAGGTTTTGCCTCAACTTTCATGATAACATTTGTGAAGGATATTTTCATTTAAATTTTTTTTTCTAAAGACTTTTTGGTAGTCGCTATCAGGTTCATGTATGTTACATGCATTTATTTTTTGTAATATGCCTTGTTTGTTTATTTTCTTGGAGAAACAGCAATGCTATATTTTAACCAACACTTGCTAAATAATGTTTAGATTTCTGATGTTTGACATGGTATTTGGCAGGTGTATGGGCTTGATATAAACCCAAGAGCTGTCAAAGTCGCATGGATGAATTTGTTTTTAAATGCTTTGGATGAGAATGGGTCTCCTAACTTTGATGAAGAAAAGAAAACTTTGCTTGATAGGGTGGAGTTTTATGAATCAGATCTTCTAGCATATTGTAGAGACCATAATATCCAACTTGATCGAATTGTTGGATGCATACCGCAGGTACTGATAAATTTTGCATTGGGATTGATCATTATGTTTTTCCAATACTTTTCATACCAACTTCATAAGTTCTTAATTATCAAGTTTGTATTAATTTAAGCAAATGAACTAAGTGTTTTGTGACAAGGTAATGACTAATGAGCTGAGATTACATGTTCAATGTGATTGACTGTTTTTGTGGTCTTTACAGATTCTCAATCCAAATCCAGAAGCCATGTCAAAACTGGTGACTGAAAATGCTAGTGAAGAATTCTTGTATTCCCTCAGTAATTACTGTGCTCTTCAGGTTAGGATATGATTGTCATATTTTGTCTAATTTCTGTCACTTCGGAAACTGTTTTCCTCATTGTTTTTAGGTGGCTGATTATCTTATGATCTCTCAAATTGAACCTCAGTCGTCAGTTGTAGGCAGTGTAATGGACATCAATGGTTCCAACAATGTGCTTCCATACAGGAAAGTAAATGAAGACATAAATATTAAAAATTATTAACTGCGTTATGAGGATAGTTATGCTTTAGTGAGAAGAGTAATCCTGGGGGGAGAGGATGAGGGGTTGCTACTGTCATATTTATGTATGATTTCATGGAATTAATAAGTTGATACTGAATCAGGGACTGTGTTGTACTATTAAAAGAATAAAGACAAAAGTCCAACTTGGCCAAGGCTTGGGGGCAAAGTATTACAATGTGATTTCTAGGTTACTACTGATTGAATTGTTAAAGGGATCATTTTTTTATCATGAAATAAGTTTTTAGGCTTTATGCTGGCTGTCTTAATGGGAAAATACGCAAGTGTAAGGTTAATGGTAGGAATAAGACAACATATCAAATAAGAAGTACCACAAAGATATCTTCAGCAGAAACACATCTTTATACTGAGATTTTGCTCAATGGTGAAGGTGGGGATGTGTTGTGGAAAGTCCTAGGTTCAAGTATGATAACTAGAAAAAAGTTAAAAGTATAATAAAATATCAGTTTTTTTGTTCATAAAATAACTTCAGAGCATAGTTTTATCTCTTAGGCTAAAATAGCATCTTAGTATCATAAGCACTTCTTGAGATTGTGAAGACTATTTTTCATATGAATGCTGATCTGTCTACGTACTATTCACTTGAACAACACATAGTCACAAAATTCTCCATCTAATTCGCAATTCAAACCAGAATTTTCATTTTTTATTTTAAACAATATCGTAATTTATCCATATAATATTTGAAATCAACCCAATACCTAACAGATTTCATTAAAAGTTCTATCTAATATAGAATTATATTTCTTGCAACAAACTCCATTAAATTGTTATTCTTTGAAATTTTGTAACACTAGTATAATGCACGTGCATTGCACGTGGACGTCAGTTTTGATTTAAAACTTTGAAGAAAAGCAGACAAAAGTTTTAAACATTACATGGTACATGAGTCCTAATTGTTCTTTTTTAATAGTAAAATAGTCGCTTCATAACTAAATAATTATACATTTTAGCTAAAACTATGTAGAGTAGAAATAAGCAACCCTATATACGACTACAAGCACTAATTTGCTCATTGCATCTGCTAGTTATACGTCCTCCACTTATTCTACTATCATTTATTCACTTGAACACCGAGAAAAGCCACATTACTTTAATATGGCCTTTGAGATCAATATTCTCAAGAATTTAGGATAGTTTGAATCCTGTAGAGACTATAAAATACGTTTATTTGAAATCCTTACATAAAATGACTATTGAGTATCAAAGTATTTGTAGGTTGTAGAGTTAATTGAGAGTAAAATGAATTCATTGAGCCGATAATATGAAATGATGAGCAAGACAACGCTGTGCTTTTTTCTGGACATGGAACTTGAAATAACTCTCATCAACTTTAAAATCGGCATTTGATTCGTAGATTTTGGGCGTGCCACACCCTGTATATAGTTGCAAAACTTTACATTTATATAAAAATAATAGATATTGATAATATTATAAAAAGAATTTTTAGACATTGTGGAGAAAAATAATCAATACAAACTTCAAGATATGTACAATTAGAGCAAGTAGATTTTCATAATCAATTCAGAGGAACATGATCCTGTAGCATACCCACCTAAACAAAAAAACCTAACATTAGTCTTTATCCTCAATAAATTGAAATAACAATTCTAATAAAATAACGTCAAATTTAAGTAGGCAAGTTATTTCATCATACCTAATTTTCGATTGTTTGACAATAAGAGGGTTGTAACCAGAGAAACGACTTTCAAAGATTAAGTAATCAAAGAGTAAAATCCATCTTTATATAGGTTGCAAGTAAAAGCTATTAGTATTTCTAACTATAACCTGAAGAATTATGACAAAATATAGGCTCTTTGGATTCCATAACAATTGTTTTAATTGCTCTTAAAATAAAGACTACAATTTAAATGTAACTCATGATTCAAGTATGCATAATGCATGCACTAATGAGATTTTAAGTTGACACATTATTTGCAAATGAAACATGTAATAGTATTAGTTTGACATATGTATCATATCAATTATCCATATATCATATATTTACTATAGTATTTATATTTATTATATTGAGCATGTGATTTATATGTATTGAATGAGATTGAGACTTTATATGCAATTAATTAAAGATAAAATTGGAAAATATTAAACTCAGAGGGGCAAAAAATGAATTCAAAAGCTTTAACACTTGAATCCTCTTTTATATGTAGTATAGATTAGTAACATTAGGCAAACCTTGCTAAATTCACACATATCAGCTTCTTGGTGATTCTAACTAGCCATGTCATCTTTCACTTTCACTTTCACTTTTTCTCGACTCACCAGGGAATCTTTCTCATTACATCTTTAATGATGAATATTCTTCATAGAACACACCTAATTATAAAGTTATTGGTATAGTAGTAAAGGTCAGGAAAGTTGTATCCTACTTGCTTTGTATTTCTCTTTTCTATTATAAATAAAGCCCAACTATTTCTCTCTCTGTGATTATAAATTAATTTTGTCAAAGACAACGTGATATAAGAGCAAATCTGATCTTTCACTTCCAACCAAAAAATAAATTATCTATGGATTACGTGAAGACCTGCTGAGAAACGCATCACAAATCACCGCGCCTTGAAAATTTCATTTGCCTTGGGCACAATCAGCTCCTTGCCCCTAGAGCTCTCTTGTATAGGAGCAGATTAATGACATGTGTTGCTTTGGAAACCCTTTTTGCCTAGAAAAACCTGCGGCAACAAGCTTTTTCAGGGAGAACAAATAACAAGCCCTTGGTTCCATGCCTGTAGCAACAAGATTGGGAAAAACCCCGCAGCAAATCCCCTTGGGTCCGGTTCATCACAGTACCGCCTCTTGTCACACTCTTTGGTGCAGTCTATCTTACCCGTGGTTCCACCTCAATTCCTTTATAGATTTGATGTGATTTGATAAAAGACGACCTGTTATTGATTTTGTATCGATTTAGATTTACGCTTGTTCCTAATCCTCTAATATTGTCTTTGTGGCTGAACCAACGATATTTGAGATCTTGTAGATCTTGAAATTACGAAGGTAAAACTGAACTGTAAATAGTATTTGTTAGATATTGTTAGATATATTTAGGTATTACCGTATTGGTAGATAATATTAGATACTCTTGTTATTATCTTGTGATCACTTAACCTTATCGTACATAACCACCCGTGCTTATCCTGTACAACAACTCGTATATAGGATATCACAGGGATGCTATTAGGAAGATCAATAAATACAATTTTATCTTTTCTCTGCACGATATCTGAGTAGATGTTTTGAGTCTGGAGGGCCTTCTTTCTTAATCTTGCATCACCCCCAAGTGGGACTTGAAGTAGATCAGATGCTGAGTGGGGGAGCCTTTCCCGCCGAACGGCGTGAAGTTGATCAGGTTGAACTTCGCCGGATACGGGATCGAATCCCACTCTTTCGGGTAAGGACACGGAATGCTCGATTTTTCTTTCGAGATCCTTCATCTTTTCGGCCTGATCTCTATCCTGTTTTGGATAATTGTCGAGAGGAATAATACGGCCACCCCCAGTGTTGTCACTACTGGTGGGTCCACCCCCAGCGCTATCATCACTGGTGGGTCCACCCCCAGCGCTGTTAATTTTAGTGGGGCCACCCCCAGTATTCTTGGGTGGTGCGTCGGCCATGACGATTTCGACCACCTCCGGATCGCTGTTGACTGCAGCGTTCTGGGTGCGACGGTCGGACTCAACTAGCTGGTTTGACAAAGCTCGGATTCGTTGATCGTGCATTTGTCTCATCTCTTGCATAGCCATTTCCATTTCAAATTTGAAGATTTCCTTCTGCTTAGCCAGGGCCTCTTCAATGATTTTGGCTATCTGTTCGGTGTTGGCCATGAGCACCTCTCGAGCTTGCCCTATGCTAGACGTCGTGTCGTCAGAGGCGAGCGTGGAGTTAGAATCTGAGAACTCGTCATCGGAATGGACTCCTTCATGGACCCCGTGGCCGTTGTTATATCCGATGGCTTCCAGCTGAAGCTGAGCTATTCCCGAATTGACCCTGCTTTCCGAAGAGAAACTAGGTTCGGAATCACCTGAAATGATTGGGGATTTTCCCTTGTTGACCATGTTGATGGTAACTTCTAGGGGTCCATCCTCTCGAGCAATCGATCCTCTTTGGTAGGAACGCCTTGATTTGGGCTTTGTCGGTCCATCGGAGATTCTCTCGGATATCGAGACCCTCTGTGGAGCGGATGGCTTCAACAACTTTGATGTCGTCAACAACTTTGGCAGCTTCACAACATGTTTGTCTTCAGCAACGACTTCAGCATCATTGTTTTCTTGATCCCGTAAAAAACCCTCCACAAAAAATCCCTAAAGCCAAAAAATGCATCTAATGATGACACAATGATTAGTAATTGATGACAATTCGGCTGTTACCTTCGGTTGTTATCTACAACAACACTGGTTCTTTTTCGATGTTATTTCTACTGGCTGACTCGCTTAGAGTTTTTACATGCTTACCTACCTAGGGTTTGTACTCGCTGACCTACCTAGGTTTGTACTCGCTGACCTGCCAAGGGTTTTTACTCGCTGACTTGTCTTGGGTTTCTTTTGGCGTTGATATGGGTTTACAAGACTTGATTCTTGTGTTGAGAGTTTACAAGACTTGATTCTTGTGTGGAGAGTTTACAAAACTTGATTTTTGTGTTGGGAGTCTCCTACTATTGATCTGGTTGTCTACTACTAATCACAAAAGCGAGGATTTTCTTGTGATCTTTATAGGAATTTATTCGAGTTTGTCTTGTATTTGGTTATCTTGGTTGGTTCATCAAAGTTTGTTCATTTAGTTATTTCGTTATTATGTGTAACAAGCTGGGATATATAGTATATATTCTCTAGCTTGAGAGGCAGTGTTAGGTATTATTAGATATCTTTAGGTATTAGTAGATAGTATTAGATATTATTGTTATTATCTTGTGATCACTTATCCTTATCCTATGGAACCACCCATACTTGTCTTGTATAACAACTCATGTCTATATATAGCATGTCACAGGGATGGTATTATGTAGATCGATAATTAGAATTCTCTCTTTCTTTACAGTATACCCTATGGGAGAATTTGTGCGTGCTTCTTAGGCATAAAGGAAATTTTAATATTGTTACATGTGCTAAAAATTATCCCCCTCTGATAAAATTTTGATTGGTACAGTTGTTGATAAATATCATGTTTTATGACACAACAAGAAATTTGAGAGCATTTAGTGACACTTACTATATGAAGCATAGTACATCTCAGACTTTTCATATTTATGAAGATATTTTTAGTATCTGGCAAGAGGAGAAGAGTCTAGGAGATTACTGTGGCTGTTCAAAGGCATGATTGACACACTTAATCAGTATTTCCTCAATAATGATATTGGATCTCTTCAAAAACAATATGAAGATTCATATGTCTGCAAATTTCTAACCGGATTGAGCTCCTCATTGAAGCCACTATGAGTTCAACTGCTAGCCGCTGAAGGAGGTCTTCCGACTCTTCGTGATATGTTCTCTAGATTATCTGAGGCCACAAGATCTCTCTTTGATAACCTTCCTCGATAGGTTCTGCATTGCTCTCCCCTACTGGACTGAACGCATCTATTGGAGGTCATGGTGGTTTTCATATTCGTGGAAACAGCGGTGGCCGAAGTGGTCGTGGTGGCCATGATGGTATTGGAGGCTGTAGTTCTACTCGACGCCAAGACATGTCTTGTTATTGTTATAATAGATGGAATGGTGATGATGATTAGCTATGTTAATTTATAATCTACCTGGTTGTTGTTGTAACCAGAGTTTTCGGGGGAGAAGCCTTAGACGACAGTGATGATGTTCATTAAGTATGGTTCAATATCTGGTAGCAACGAAATGATCATTCTTCTAGTTATGCATGATATCATTCTTATTGGAATGAACAATATTTGTTTCTATGTTTTGTTTCTAAAAATTTATGAAAATGATAATTCTAAAATACATAGAAATATTATGCTGACAAGGTTTATTTGATCAAGTTAATGAGTAACCTATCATTATTATAAATGTTGGCTCATGCTTGTTTGGACGGTTAATTTGATCCAGGGTTTCGTGGAGGATCAATTTGGTTTAGGTCTTATAGCTAGAGCAGTTGAGGAAGGAATTTCCGTCATAAAACCCACGGGAATTATGGTTTTCAATATGGGAGGTCGTCCAGGGCAAGCTGTTTGTAAGAGACTGTTTGAACGTCGTGGTTTTCGCATCACGAAGCCTTGGCAGACAAAGATTCTCCAGGTTTGTATATCTGTATAATTACTGCACGGATAGCCCACTGATTAGTGGTCTAGTTAATTTCCTTTCACTCTTTACGCTTGACCTCCTAGTTTGAATGCTTTTCTGCATAATATGCTTTTCTTGAAGACATTTGGTTTAAAAGTTCAGACTTCTTCTGTGAACACATTGCAGGCTGCAGATACAGATATATCAGCATTGGTTGAAATTGAAAAGAACAGCCGTCATCGGTTTGAATTCTTTATGGGGCTTGTTGGTGATCAGCCAATTTGTGCCCGTACTGCCTGGGCATATATAAAAGCTGGAGGCAATGTTTCACATTCATTATCAGTGTACAGTTGTCAACTCCGTCAGCCGAATCAGGTGTGCCTTTTATTCTGCTACTTTATTCATATATACTTGCTTGAAAATGTGCATCTCTGACAACTAGCACGGTTTTATAGGTGAAGATAATATTTGATTTTCTTAAAAATGGTTTCCAAGATGTCAGCAGCTCATTGGATTTGTCGTTTGATGATGATTCTGTTGCTGATGAAAAGATTCCATTTCTAGCTTATCTTGCCAGTGTATTGAAAGAGAACTCATCATTTCCCTATGAGCCTCCTGCTGGAAGTATGCTCTTCCGTAAACTTATTGCTGGCTTTATGAAGAGTTATCACCATATTCCACTTGATACCAATGTAAGAAACTTGTATGCAGCTGAAGCTGCATTTTTATTGTTTTTTTATATGTATTGTTGTTTGTGATTATATTTGTAGATTGTCCATCATATTGTTTTCGTCGTATATTATGCATTCATGGTCGTTGACACCTTTAGCGTATTAGTTTTACTTTACGCCGAGAACTTGACTATTACCTCCTGAATGTGCTATATTTGCAAATACCTTGAGCATTCTCTACTGAAATGAGTTTAATCTATTCTCCTTACTTTGTCTGAATTTTCATGATTGGTGCAGTTCGAATGCAGATAACTATTTGCAGTTATTGTGACTTCTTCTTTTTTTAATTAAAGAAAACCATGGAACAATTCTTGCATCACTTTTTAGCACTTAGTGCATTCCTCTCTTTCTTATTTATTTTCATTTAAAGATATTGAGAATTAGTTCAATAGTGGATTGTATTATGATAATGGTATGCTTTCTTGTTTTACATTGTTAGGGACATGGAAACGTTTTTTGACATCAAGATTGAAACTCAGAAATGTTTTAGGGCATCTATGTTAGTGACTTACAAGATTTGGGACCTCATAATTCGTCAAAAAGTTGAGAAAATACTTTCTCTGGTTCTTTTAGCATTATGTTTTTCTTTTTCTGGAAATGTTACATATCTACATACTGCAACAACCTCTAATTTTCCCAATAAATTAGTTCTGCAGTGTTATTACGGTTTGTTGAGAGGGAGGGAGGGACTACCACTTAACCAAATTTGATTATGTTGCTCCTGTAAGCTTCATGATCCTGCACATTTTTGTTGCTCATGTAAAATTTCACTTTGCAAACATGTTTGTATCTTTCACCTTTAAATTAGGTTAAATTTACCATTGTAATGCACATAAAGATCTCATGTAGATTCTCATTAAGTATATGTATGCTGAGCCCATTCAGAGCCATGCACATTTAGATCTGTTCCCCCTCATGGTAGGGATTTGTCATGCAACACGTGCAGATTTCTTTAATTCCTTATTGCTTACCCTTTTGTTTTATGCAAATAAAGATGCAGACTAACATTTTAATTTTGGGACGACAAGAATGTTACAGTGTTTCCCTCACGTGCTGTCGCAATTGAAAATGCTCTTCGATTGTGCTCACCACGACTTGCCATTGTTGACGAACATCTGACAAGATACTTGCCTAAGCATTGGCTGACATCCTTGGCTATCGAGGTGAGCAATCAAAATGTATATATTTTATGATGAAACTTCTCCTGTTTTCAGTTGTTTCATCTCATCTTCCAGACGCATCAGTGAAACTCTGGTAGTTTTATACAGTCTAACTTGATTTTTGTTTTCTGCACTTTTGTACATTGTTCAACTAGTAGATTTCTAGAGTTTACATGGAATATAGTAGTTATATCCATAGTGGCAAGTATGCACCTTACTTAATCAGGTTCAACACTCATATAGATAAATTAAATCATCTACAAAGTCCGACGTGGCAATATGTGCCTGCAACCCTGTCAAGTTTTGCATTAATATTATCTTTGCTTTTTCATGATCTTTGGGCAGAACGTTGCAAGTGATGAGAACACAGAAGATTCCATCACCGTAATTGAGGCTCCCCGCCAGTCAGATCTGATGATCGAGTTGATAAAGAAACTCAAGCCACAAGTGGTAATTACAGGAATGGCACATTTTGAGGCTATTACAAGCTCAGCTTTTGAAAATCTATTGCATACAACCAGAGATATTGGCTCCCGTCTCTTTCTAGACATCTCAGATCATCTTGAATTGTCGAGTCTTCCTAGTTCTAATGGAGTCCTGAAATACCTTTCTGGAAATGCTCTACCCTCCCATGCAGCTATCTTATGTGGTCTAATAAAAAACAAGGTAAACATGGTCCTCTTTGTGTTGCATTTGGTGCATTTCTTTTTCCAATCATGGGATTAGGCAAGCAGGCTTCACAATGTTGTAATGGTCATATATGCATCCTCATTTTCGCATCGCCTCTTGGCTGCAAAAGTACAGCCATATGTGTTACATGTGGCCAGGGGCAATATACGATGTTTGAACTTTGTATCTGGCCGTATAATTGTTTGGTTGCTAGAATGCAGCATACATGTATTATTTGGACCCTGATGAGCACTGTGTAAACCATAGAATATGCAAGGGCATGTGCACCCTCATTTTCATATAAGCCCTTGGCTCCATAAGAATGTTCTTATGTGGTCACTTATGCAGCTCAGGGTAATACGCAGAGCCTAACCCATCTTTGCGGCCACTTATTTGGTTATATGGTCATTCTTGTGCAGCCAACGGGAATACGCAGAGCATAAACGATATTATTTGGCCACTTATTATTTGGACATTGGTGGGCATGTTCTGGTTGCACTTTTTTTTTACCATCCTATTCATTTGTTATTAATTTAGTATTTCCAACTCTGCTCTTGTAATTGAGCTTGTTATTAATATACTTTTTCATCTGCCTTGAGTCATAAATCAGATATAAAAAATATACTACTGATGTGTATGATATGAACATTTTTTACCTCATCATATATTTCACTTTTATTTTTTAATTTTCTAATTTTTATTCTGAAGTTTATGGTTTTTCCCTTATAAAATGGCAAACCCCATGTATGTCCATATAAGAAGTGCATACGTGATATGCACTAGTTAATTGCATAAAATATACAGGAATATACCTCTTTTTATCATATTGAGACTGAGTCGGTAAGTTGTGTGCATTTGAGGTATTCCTGAATACAAGCCCTTGGAGTATCATCTTGGCAGAACTCACAGTTTAAATTATTAAAGTTTGATGTGAGTTTTATATCCATATTAGGTAGTCAAAGTTTGGATAGTGATCTGGTCTGGGATTAAAATCCAACAGAAGCTGTAATTATTACAAGTAATAATATTGACAAGACACTTTCTTTTGCAGGTTTATTCTGATTTGGAGGTAGCCTTTGTCATTTCGGAGGAAGAGACCGTCTCTAAAGCACTGTCAAAGGTTGTAGAGTTACTTGAAGGCCACACAGCTTTGTTTAGTCAATACTATTATGGCTGTCTCTTCCATGAGCTTTTGGCATTTCAGATTTCTGGTCGTCGTCCTCCTGCACAGGTTCCTATGACAGCTCTATTTTTATGATTTGAATATTATGCAAAAAAAAAGCATATAGAAAACAAATCATTTTCTGTTTACATAGATATTAGCCAAAAATATCTTTCAGTTCATATTTATGCTAAGGTTAACACAACCAAGGTTTTCATTTTTGTGCTTGTTTACTCTGTTAAAGCTTCACAAGACGCCTTGCAAGTTCATATCCAAAATATCCTGACTCCTAGAATGAGTTGAATTGCCCAAGTGTATATGTAGGATGTAAAATTGACCTCAAAAGAAGATTTGTATTAATTGAATGACAATTACAAACCAAGAATTAAAATTACAACAGAAGCGAAGAGAATGCTTTTCTTGTTTAACGTGAGTCTTTGGTAGCGATAGGATGTCTCCCTTGAATGCTTGCGTCCAGTTTGTTTCTCTTGGACGATTCGATCGAAATTGCGGCTGAGCTTCAACGCGTGGTAGAAGCTCGTGTGATTGAGTTCGAATACCCGAGCTTGATGAGTTTCAAGGCCAAATGCACAAAGAAGGCTAAAATCCAAGAGTTTGCAAAGAGCCGAAATAAAGAGCCCGGAGGATCTCCAAAATCCGATAGCTTTTTTATCAAAATTCTGGATCCCCCCTTTTCATATAGCCAAATGTGGCTTATAAATACCTGAGGAGAGTCGTGGCCACTCCCTTAAATTGTGGAAAGTGACTATTCCCATGATTATAGTTGAGGAGGACCATAACCCCTCCCTCAAATTGTGGGATGTTACCATTCATAGGTGATGAGAGCTATGCTCCATCCCCTAAGTCGTGAGAAGTGGGTATGCCCATTCCTACAAGGCAAGCAAGCAGTTGCTAACCGCTCAGGCAAGCTTGGCGGGCTTGCAAGCGAGCTCATATGCAAGCTGAATACTCAGGCGAGCTTGCAGGCAAGCTTGGCGAACAGGCGAGGTTGACTCGTGCGGGCGGGCCAAGTGTTTAAGTGTGTTCGACTCGTGCGAGGGAGTCGAGCATTCAGGCAAGCTTGACTCGTGCGGGCGAGTCAAGTTTCCGGGCGAGCTCTGCTTGGCCTTTTTGATGCAGGCGAGCAAGCAGAACAAGCTTGTTCTTGCAAGTCTGAGCACACAAGCGAGGCTCAGTGGGCGTGCCTTTTGATTTTTGAATAAATGTAATTTTTATTGCCTACAAAACCTCCTTCAAAGTTTTCAGACCTGAATCAGGTTGCACGTGGTCTGAAATACTTTGAATGAAAAGGATCATTGTTCATTGGTTTAGGCGAACTTGACCACTTTGGTTGAATTGAGTTCTTCAGGCGAGCCGAATGAAGTCTGGCGAGCTAAGCGTTTAGGCGGACTTAGTTTTGCAGGGGAGCTCAAGTCTGCAGGCGAGCTGGATAACTATGGGCGAGCTCCAGGTGTTGACAGGCGAGCCATGTGTTTATAGGCAAGGTTTGAGAAGGCCAAGCGGTGACAGGCGAGCCACGTGTTTGCAGGTGAGTTTTTGCGTCTGCCAGCTAGGTGGTGAGGGTTCGTCAGATCTGATTAAATGCGATCTGACGGAGCACCCTCGTTTTCACGCATGAGATCTGAGTCGTCACTTTAATGGAATCTTCGATCTCTGTCGTTGTTTCGACGAGAGTTCATGGTCGCTGAGTTCAAATTTTTTGATCTTAACTGTTGAATTGAATACTAATCGCTCGTCGTTTGAATTTCGAATCCGAACCGTTCAATTCGAAGATTAATCGCGACTGTTCGATTCGAACTGTCGAATCTAAATCATTTCAACAAATCTGAACCATTAGCTTCGGTTGAGATATTGAATCTTAACCGTTGAAGCATCAGCTATAAATAGTTTCATCTCCCTCCTTGGGAAAGTACTGAGCACTTAGAAAATTCGCTCGAGCTTTCAAGAAAGAAAAAAATAGAGCTCATCTTCCTTTGCTTTTTTCTCAACTTTGATATGGCACCGAAATCTAAACTTCTTGCCTCAAAAGGGAAGAGGAAAGCTTCCTCTTCCGTCGCCTCTGAAACCGCCGCTGTCGTTACCATCACCTCTAGCGTATCATATTCTAGTAAGTTTAAGAACTGTTGAACTGGTTTGAGAAGATGAACAGGAGTCATTCATCTTCTGGCAAGCTTCGTCTACTCAGGCGAAGTTCTGCTATTCAGACGAGCTCTGTTCTAGTCAAACGAGCTCTGCTTGTCAGGCGAGCTTTGTTAGCTCGTCTGTTTGTCAAGCGAGCTTTGTTAGCTCGCCTGCTTGATGAGGCTCGCCTGCACATTACAGTCTGCCTATTTTAAAGACTTAGTGAAATTTTTAACGTGTGAGTTAAAAAATTTTAATTTCTTTTTGCTTTGTTATGTAGCTACCTTTTCTGACGAGCTCTTCCGAGAAGCGCAGTGCCATTGGTCTCTGTTGGTCGGTAGCGAACTTCTCAGCCCCGCCTAGGTTCCCGCTGCTCGACTATGTATTAATGTTCGATGCTGACAAATCTGCGAAGCTGGTGCGAACGGTGTCTGAGGGACACTATATGACGCTGCGTGAACTGATTACTGATGCAGCGCTAATGGACAATCAACGTCGGGAGATGAAAAAGCCTCACTTTTTATTTGGTGATGTCGTGGTTGACCCAACCGTCCTGCTTCTCGGCGAGAGTAGATGGCTCCGCATGGTGGACGGTGTCCGATATTTCCTCCCCAACATGATGAGTTATCGAGAAGTTTTTTTTAGACTTAACGTTAAAATTTCTTCCATACCCTTAGCCATTTAAGGCGTTAGGTTAAGTTAATTACAACAATTTAATTGTAATTAGGTTAGGCCATGTCGTTTGGTGTAATGACTTAGCCCGAGAATGAGAGGTCATTTATGTAAATGATCGGGTAAGTGAAGTTGTATCGTTAGTGAGATAACGATTGAGGGTTCGAATAACGACTCATCGGTTCGTAGGTCGCTATTTGATAATAGGGAGTTGATATGGCACATCACTTGGTAGGCCGTTATCAACGAACAACGTTATTTGCGGGAATGATGGTGTTGGAATAATCGAATCGTTCAGGGACGTAGGAGTATGACGACTGATTAGAATAGTAGCACATCGCATGGTAGGCTACTATTATCGATCGTTCTAAGAAGATTAAGCTCGGAATGCATCAGGTCGTTTTGGGACATAGGAGTATGACGACTGATCGGAATAGTAGCACATCGCATGGTATGCTACTATCATCGATCGTTGATTAGAACGTTCGGAAATAATCAAGCCGTTCATGGACGTATGAGTATGACGACTGATTATAATAGTAGCACATTTCACGCTAGGCTACTACTTATCAGGTAACGTCATTTGTAAAAATAACGGAGTTGACTATCAGAGGTAATCATTAATATAATAGGAATTTATAGACCTGACATCCTATTGAAGAGGATTGGTGAGGAGTAATCTTGAGAAGATTAGTTATCAGAGGTGAGTGTTAACGTGATAACTTTGTGTGAGCCTGTCATCCTATTGAAGAGGCTCGACGGGGGAATTTGGAAGAGATCATCTATCAGAGGTAATTATTAACATAATAGTTTTGTGGGAGTTGAAGGAAGACTATGGATAGTACTTCTTCAGGAATTATCGTTAATAAGCATCATGATCTTATCGTCATTCGGTTTGACGAGACGATAAGCTCCATTCGAATAAACCGTCTACTACGAATGGTTCTTCTCATTTGGGTTGGAATTTTTTTTCTTTTTGGAGTTGAGTATCATCGATCGTCGAACAGCGAGGACCAACTCTTATTCTTTGAAAGATCGATGTTTGACTTGTCGAAATCCTTGGATATTCGGGTTTGATAGAACTCAATGTGCTGTTGAGTTTCAAGCCGCTTTTCATATAACGTCTTGAGTTCTGCGAGACGTCGTCAATGACTTTCTTTAGTAGTCATCCCCATCGCAAGTGCGATACGTAGGGACAGAATCTGAATTTTCAGAGGTAGTACGACCTCACAACCGTATACCAATGAATAAGGCGTGGTGACTGTTAGGGTGCGGACCGTAGTGCGGTACGCCCATAAGCTTTCACCGAGCTTTTCATACCAATCGCGTTTGCTGGCGGATGTCAGCTTCGTTAAGATTTTAACGATCGTCTTATTGAAAGCTTCGGCTAATCCGTTTGCTGATGGATTGTAAGCCGTGGACGAGAGGTTCTGTATTTTGAATGTCACTGAACTGAGTGAACGCATGACTAACGAATTACGATCCGTTATGAATGATACGTCTTGGAACGTCGTATCTGTAGATGATGTGATGTTTGATAAATTTAATCACATCGTTTGTTTTGACTTCTCTTAAAGGAACAGTTTCGGCCAATTTAGAGAAGTAATTAGTTATCATTAGGATGAAGCGATAACTTTTTGCTGATGGCAAAGATATCTGTCTCACGATATCCATCCCTTATGTTTTAAACGGCCACAAAGTCGCTGTCAGGTACATGTCTTCAGGTGATCGATGTATGTAATTGGCATTAATCTGACACGCATGGTAGCGTTTGGCATAAGCTACTACGTCATTGACCATTCTGGGCCAATAGTACTCCATTCTTCGCAAGCGATGCCAAAATTTGGGTCCGGGTTGATGAGCTCCGCAGGTACCATCATGGGCTTCTCGTAAGGCGTCTTATGCTTCTATCGTTGAGAGACATCGAAGCAACATGCCATCATATGACCTACGATACAATGTCTTTGTTGTTGAATCGTAGTAGAATTTTGGCGCGCGTCTCCAAACAGACTCGTTTTTGACGTTTTCATGGAGTATGCCGTATAAGATGTAGTTGATGATCGGGAAACACCAATCTCTCGGTTCGAGTTGACCCGTGCTCTGGTGAGTTACATTCACTTCTAGAGCATCCTTCGGTCAAAAGAGTTGTTGGCTTGCGACGATGACGCATTAACTTGTTCCTAGCAATTGAGTCAGGTTGGCTGCCAACGACGCTAATGCATCCACATGCGTGTTCTTAGAGCGAAGCACGTGCT